GTATGTGTGTGTGAGTGTATTTATGTAAATATGTGCATATTTATGTATATATATGTATATATATATATGTATGTATGTATGCGTGTGTTTGTATGTGTATGTATGTAAATATGTGCATATTTATGTATATATATATATGTGTGTGTGCATGTGTGTGTGTGTGTGTTTATATATATATACATCAATATGTATATATATTTATGTATATATATGTATATACATATATATAAATATATATATATATATATATATTGGAGGCATCGGGCAGCCGCTGTCGTTAGTAGATATAGTTTCAGTATTGGCTATTTCTAAAGGATTATCTGCAGAGTGTAATTCCAGTAGGTGTAGTTCCAGATATTGCCAGAAAATACTCGCTCTGTGTATGTTGATGTCGTTTAGGGCGTCTGCGGATTGTGTTTAGGATTCGATGCTGTACAAACAATGATTCCGGCATGTGTATGTAGTTTATCTTCGTTGTATAATAAGACATTCGTATGTCGACCATATACTCGTTATGAATAACTATAATGTATTGTGATTTCACTGATTTAAATTACGAGTTTGACTGACGCAAACTTTACTCTTTTCTACGTCGCTTTCTTGATTTAGTGATCAAAACACATGTCCAAAAGATATAAGACACTTAAATATATCTATAATTCACAGGCGTCCCTATAGCTGCACGAGGTTTAATTGTACGTGTTTTATATGGCGTAGTTTGATTTTTTTTAGAGCTCGTCTGTCGGTCGGATACTGTGGCAAACAGCGCTCAGTAGTCATTATTGATATATGTATTCTGAATGCATCACATAGGCACCACGATCACACTCTTCTATGTCGCATACCTAATCCATCAATTTGTACATTTGTAATGCACAGACTCCGTTTCGCAAACAGTTTGTCGGTCCGTACCATTGGATCGACATCTGCCACACTGAAATCATACATTTGTGAGTGGCCCAACTGTGGTCAGACATGTACCAGCATATACCAACTGAAGGTGCATATGCATGTGCACACGGGCGAACGTCCCTATGAGTGTGATTATCCTGGGTGTGGCAAGGGGTTTTCTAAAATCAGTGGTTTGAATAGACACAAATGCGTGCACACGGGCGAACGTCGCTATGCGTGTGACTATCCTGGGTGTGGCAAGAAGTTCTATGAAGGTGGTCATTTGCGAAGTCACAAACGCGTGCATACGGGGGAACGTCCCTATGTGTGTGACCATCCTGGGTGCGGTAGGGCGTTTGCTCGAAATGAGAATTTGCGAAGTCACAAACGCGTGCATACGGGCGAACGTCCTCATGTGTGTGACTATCCTGGGTGCGGTGGGGCGTTTACTCGAAATGCGAATTTGAAAGTACACATACGCGTGCATACGGGCGAACGTCCCTATGTGTGTGACTATCCTGGGTGCGGCAGGGCGTTTACTCGAAATGAGAATTTGAAGGTACACAAACGCGTGCACCAGGACGAACTTCCCTAGGAGTGCGGCTAGTTACAGAGTTCAAACGATCTGATCATCTACGCCGCCATAGACGCGTACACAATGGCAAACAAGGCTCGGCCGATTAAACTTAAGGTGCTGCACCAGTGAGGCTATTCAATAAATAAACGCACGCGACTTTGTTTCTATAGCAGCTGTTCCAAGTAGCTCAAGGATGAGACCCAAAAGCTCAGACCGCATAGTATTGTATTTTCATATCGTTGAAGAGTTGCCAATAGGCATCGAGAACAGTCCAACAGTTTAATTGAACACAACCCCACTGAATATGGCATGCGTTTGCACCACTTGCGGCCCATGTGCTCATGCACATGTATAAGAAGTGCTTGCTGGTGCTATAGATCGGATTCTTAGAAAGGGTACAGAGATCCGTTGACTTGTTGGCATACACATGTTCTAATTCAACCCAGTTTGTCGGGAGCACTGCTCACAGCGGCATCCATGATACGATTGTTGAACTGCTAGCAATAAAGATTGTGTGATTTTGAAATGATAGCAGACAGAATTAAAATTTGGGGGTCCCTTGAATAATCAAATAAGCTAATCATGTACATAAAACGAACAAGTAACTTAAATATCGCTTTTAATTGGTATCTATGTGAATACAACCACATCTAACGTTCACCATTCCCATATAATCCATCCGAACCCTTCCTACTCAGTTATCCATCAGAGCGTCGAAAGCCTTCGATGTGTTGCTCTCCGTCACGCGCGACACTGGTACAGTATGTGGCAGCTCATTCAGCGCAATGTACTTATTAGCAATCTGGAACGCGTTGGCCTTCTCTTCCAGGCTGGCACCGTCACCCACCCAGATAAACAGTGCCAAACCCCCCGCATCTACCAAGAACACATCGTTGGTATCCAAGTCATCCTTGCTCAACTCTCCTTCTTTCTCTAGGTCCACCTCTATTTCCCCATCGCTGTCCGAGATTCGGAACAGTTTGCTTGGTCCTGGTTCGTTTACTTGAGTATCGCACCCGCCCTCTTCGGCGCTCTTGACCTCAGCTTGGCCCCCAAATACCTCCCAGAAGGAGTCGCATTCCTCATCACCATCCAAAACCTTAGTGTCGATAGAACACACACACGGAGCACACACATGGAAGTTAAAATTCCCGTCTTCACATGTACACGCTTAGCCTAACTACCAGGTATATATATATATATATA